CCACCTGGGAGACACACAGGGGCCCACTCTGCACCAGCAGAGCCACCTGGGAGACACACAGGGGCCCACTCTGCACCAGCAGCCCCACTGCATGGCACACTAGGTGATGAGCGACAAACAGCTTTACCCTTCAGTTAAGGAGGGATCTTCAGGTAGGCAGACTGGACTGTGAATTAAGTCAAGACACTGGGGTTTCCATCTAGAGAAATACCTACCATCCATGTTGCAACTGCGTCTTTGGACAAAGGAACAGTGGAGTGGAGATGGAAATTCACCTCCCTACAGTAGGAAGAACTAGCAGTTCTCTTATTGCATGGGGCTTTTCAGATTTAGGAATACAACAGCACAGGTAGCTTCCCAAGCAGGACAAGATCCAAGGAGCAACACTGACACTTTCTACAAAAGCACTAACATTAGGGCTCTAACTGCTCCACGTTTAAGCAGTAGGACGTCACAAAGCATTTGTAGTGCTAGAAAAACAATAACCACCTTTTAGACTACACTTAAAGCAGTTTTTTCTTTATGCACAGTTGTTAACTAAAAGAAGGTGCCAGCAGAACAGCCTGCTGTGAACGTGAGGATCCGCACACACCTCCATGTTCACAAGGTACTTGTCTCTCACAGTGTGCAGCAGGCCCAGCTCCTGCTCAATCTTCTGTATCACTCTGTAATACGCACTGGACACTATCTTCACCTCTTCATTATCCTGCTCCTGCGTCAGGAGGAAGAAACAGAGCAAGGGAAAAAAAAACACAGGTCACTATACAAAAGGAATGCAGTGCCTTTAGCATTATTCATCCTCCTTTTTAAAGCAAATCACTGTCATGGACTAGTTTCCATTTTAATGGGTTTATCAGCACAGCAGCACAAGCCCCTGGTCTGAAACGCACGTCTGATTTAAAACCACGCAGTGAGGATGGAGATCTCAGCAAATGCTGCCTCATTAAGAATGAGGGAAAATATGCCGCAGGTCGAGAAAAACGAGCTGTCCTGACATCACCTCGGGGACAGCTAACGAGTCGAGGTCTAAGGTGAAGAGCAAGTGGGCTCCTGACACGAGGAGTAAAGTGTACAGCACTTGACCCCACCAGCCTTGGCTAGAAAAGGGGAAATAACCGTGCCGGTGTTAGAGGAGAGGGAGAGCAGACTGGCCAACCCTTCCTAAGCCAGAAACCAATATTAATGAGAAGTCTTATACTCCTCAGCATCCGCCGCCTCATCCCGTCGACAAAACATGTTGGCATCTGCCATGGGGGATCGAGCAGCTCGAGCAGGGGCTTGGGCAGCTGGGAGCGGGCACATCTGCCAAAATCCCTGAGCTGCTGCGAACGGAAGTGTCCGTGCCCGAGGGTCACGCTTGACCGAGAAGCGGCAGAGGTCAGCAATGCCTTTGCCTGCCTGCCTTAGAAGGGACAAAATCCTGGTTCAAGGACACTCCCAAATCAGCTGAAAAACAAGCACGTGCTGCCCTCAGACAACACCTAAAGAGAGTTCTTAGGAAGAGCTACTATGCAGGACTCTGACCCAGCACTTTCACAGCTCACGTGCCTCGGGACGGTTTCGCTAGAGCTGTGAACATGGAGGCGATGCTCACTCACTGCGAGACACAGCTGCAGCTCGCTGCTCACGTCACTCTCGGCTCTCTCCAGGATGCGGTCCACACTGTCGGCGACCTCTTGCACAGACAGAGATGAAGGCTCGCTCCCCAAGCAAAAAAACTGAAGAGACAGAATATACGCTTCCTTTAAACGGAGGGTAGAAATTTGAACGTTTTTCTAACCATTTCCAAATCAAGGCATACCAAATTTATCTCTGCTAAGCAACAATTTATATGATGAATTCATGATGATCCAAATAAAGAAAGTTAATCAGAAATGCTGGTAACAGAAAATTTGCAATAAAAGGGGAGTAAAGGTGAAATACAGCAATCACCAATCGCAGGAACCGACAATCTGACAATAGAAAAGCAACAAAATAATAAGAAACAAACCAATCAACTGACAAAAACTTTCTAAAAATGTAAAAATGTAATTTTAATGCGCTCTTCTGTCCATGAGCAAAGTTACTGATGCACACAAGCATTCCTCCAGATTCAAAGCTCAATTAAACTGGTCAGCAGAACCAGCTGATGCAATTCTCGTGAACACTGGTTGAGTTACCTAATAAAAAGAAGTGGTTCTCATTTAACACAGCAGAATCGGCTACAATCGGCCCAGGACAGCAAGTACCATGCAGCCTTTGTGTCCCAAAGGACACAGTCTGGTCGTGTAGGGTGAAACCCACCTCACTGGTGTCACAGAGCCACGAGCGGAGAGCTTTCAGGGATTCATCTGTTTGTTTCCTGATACCGCTGAAATACTGCTGCTTCTGGCTCTTCCACTCGGCGAACGACTCGAAAGCACTCTCACCCACGTCTAGAGATGGGAAAGATCCGAACACCACCGACAGACTGGAGCCCAGGTCCTTAAAAAAAGAAATGAAGCACTCTTTCACAGAGCTCTTCACTTCACTTCAGTAGGAGCTGACCACACAGGCCTGAAAGGCCAACAACATAGTCAGCTCAACTTCATGACACTGACTGTGCTGGATTCACATTAATATCATTTCGGGATATACATGCACACACAGCATTGTAAACAGGCATGAAAAAGACAAGCACACATCACACACACGAATGTCTAAACCTGAATCCAAGCGCAAACATATAGATACTACAGAATGAATGGGACCAAGAATGGATCCCAGTGGCACCCCACATGTGATGAACTTCTTTCGAGGGAAAACAATGACCAAGCAGTCTTTACAGAACAGCTCTAAGACTGCTTACCACCATCCCTCTTTATTCAACACTTACAATAGCTGGGTGGATTGAGCAAACAAAACTGAACTAATAGGTAGGATATTGTGAAACAAAACAGCCTGTTTGGGTTAGTGAGTAGACAAGGAACAAGGGCTCGATATCCCAGTTACAGGTCACTTACAGGTAGACCAAAGGTAGGGATAAGGTTTAGTGTGTACCCTTTGTCATGAATGGGCACATTCACATGCTAAGTAAAGCCAGGTTTAGGGAAGCACAGAATTCTTCCAGAGGAGTGCTGAGTGTCAGTGTGAATATTAAAACACCCTAAAATTAACATTAGGCCTGAGAGACAACAAAGGAGGCTTTCTGCTTTGGTGGCCTGTGCACAAGCAGCGTTGCTACAGTCACCTTTAGATTACAAAACCTCCTGATTACGTATGTAACTCTCTGTCATAAGGCATTTCTAAGTGACATTATTCCAGCTCAATTCTACCGGTTTATTTGGATGAATGGAGCAGCTCTTCAGGTGCTACAGTTTTTAAAAGATATAGAAAAGCTACAGAAGCACTGGTCCTCCAGAAGCAGGGTAGACACTCCTGAGACAGAATAAAGATGAAACTCTTTTAAAGAAACATCAAGAGTTTCCACAAATACATCTATAAAGTCAAAAGTATGTGAATCATGCAAAAAACAAGATGCATTAACCAGAGGAAAAAGAGCCCTAATATTGATGAGAACATATGGCACGTTTTGTTCCCCCAAGTCACTCAAACAAAAGACGAGAACAAGAACAGACAGATGAGTGCCAAGGAACACGCTCTCACACCTTCAGAGTGTCCATGCGCTCGGCGATGGGCAGCCTGTCTGCCTCCAGTAGAAAGTCATCTATGGCCTCCACGAGAGCCCGCCTCGCTTCGTTACGTCGGCCAATCAGATCTCTCAGCTCATCTTTCTGGCGGAACAGAGCGGCATTTCCTGGTTGTCACTCAAACACTGCCCCCGAGTTCAGAGGAGCAGCCTTCATGCATCTACAGAACACCAAAACCACGCGCCGTACACTGAGGAAACTCCATCAGAAACAAGCAAGAGAACAACAAACCCATTCACCACTATGTTCACCAGTTCTGCTCACCGTTACTGAAACAAAGCATCATTTGTAGTGAAAAGCTAATTGCACATTTGCACTTGACAGCGGTCCACCCTTGCAAAAAAATCAATTACGTTGCTTTATTTCCCCCCCCAAAACTAGGCAAACTAGACCTTTTAATACTAGATTATAAACACGGCTGCCATTCTGTTAGTCTTACACAGATATTTAACCATTCAGAAGTGGAAACTGCAACACTTGAAGCGTTGCTGGGTTTTCAGTTTCCCAGCAACACGGTCAGAATGGATCTCACAGCCCATCCCACGCCGGTCCTGCTTCTCCTTATCCCACAGGATCGAGGTGCTGCTCATTCCGACACTCACGTCTACCGCGCAGGCCTGCAGCGCCGCTTGAGCCAGGCTGTACGCAGTCCAGGCCGTGTCCAGTCTCTCCATGGCCGCCGGCGCAGACAGACCGGTGCGCGTGACCGCGTCTATGGCTTCCGAAAGGCCGTCTCCCACACTGCTGCCGGGGCTGCCCTGCCTGCGGGGGCCAGAGGACCAGATTCATTCCCGCTCTCTCCGGGACGACGCCCACGCCAACGCCGGCCGGCTGCCGCAGCGGAGTTCCGGTCGGCTGGGTGCAGCGCGACTCATCCGGCAGGCCGTGCAACTGCCCGTTCACTGCAAATTCCCATTTGTCCCAACTCCTTCAAAACATCTCTATTATTCTGGTCAATTTGTACCAAACTAATGCCAGACCGATCAATTACCTACTGGGTTTATTTGCACAGTTTACCTAAAAAAGATAAATTCCCAGGGTTCCAAAGAACAGATCAGTACCATGTGGGCTTTCTGTGTCTTTCGTGCTGAGAAAACCAAATTGTCTTTATAATTTATAACATGCAAAGAAGGTCCATCTGCACGAGCACATGAAAGATGCTACAAACGACTCCCTGCAGACCCCTACCACCCATCTTGTAAAAACCCAGCTTCCCTCGGTGACCTGAGCTGTCACTTCTCATCCGGAGGTAGCTCTCTGGGCTGACTGTCAATATCTGCCACAGTTCTACTTGAATGAGGCCCCTGTACAGTCTGCTCTGCTCCAAGACAGGTGAAGCCTGTGTAAGACCTGGGTACAGGATTTAAACTTACACCCCTCCTTCCAACTGATTCCACAGCTGTGTGCTTTCTGCAGCGTGATAGGATGGCAACAAAAACTCTGTAGTGAGGTCCTGATGAACTCTGAGTGCCCGTGGTCAGGAGTCTGACCTTCTACAATCAGGCCTCACTTAGAAGCAAGGGGTGAAGCAGACTCTCTCTCCTCCCCTGACCTGCAGGTGCCGTGGGGCTGCTGTGAGTCACTCCGAGGGGAGCTGCTCTTTAGTTAAGGATGATGCGGGTCCCTTCCTGTATGTAAAGTGCACGGAGATCCTTTAGGATGAAGAGGACTATATAAACGTAAAGCTCGTTTATTACATTATAACTCGGAACATTCCAACTGTCTGCTCCAGGGATTTCCATGCTTCCTGCAGGACTGCGAGGCTACGTCAGCCTAACCTACAGTGTCACAGGCATTCTGTGTGACTGCAACCTTGCCAGGCAAACTTCACAATGGCAGTCAGAGCAGTCATACCGCAGTCTGCGCACTGCTTCCGTCTTCTCCAGCAGCGCTCGCAGTTTGTCTCCAACTGCTGTTTGCATCTGCTTCTCGAGCTCCTCTAGCTCCGTCTGGAACCCCTCCTTAACCTTCTGCAATTGAAAGCAAGAAAAAAACACTGATGCAGAATTTAAAAAAAAAAAGAGATGCACAAGGAGCAAATCAGTACTGGCCTTGTTTTGTCTCTGGCTATGGTATTAAATAAGACACAGAACATGAATTCCCTTGTTAACTCTCTTTGTACATGTTATTGTGTGTGTTCTGCAGGAGTTTTCATGGACATCAGTACTAACTAGACTAAAATCAGTTCCACAAGTAAGTACAAGGTGGCACTAAGAACACTGAGGCAGGACCCCACAACATGCCCCTGTGCTCTGAAACCAGGGAACACTGAAACCTTCCCTCTCTTCTCCAACCACCAGCCTGGGAGTCCTCAGAAGGGGCTGCATTCGGGGAACACAGAAACAAACACCCCCCCACCCCCACAGCAGGAAACGACAGAGCGGGACAAGGCCGGTGAGGTTCGGACTTCTCCACATCAACACCCAATAACCATGAAACAGGTTCTGCAAAACTATCCACAATACGAGCGGTATGCACTCCCAGTCATAATCAGATGGCACCGCGCTGGGGAGGCTGTATATACTGAGAGCCACGTCCCGCCCGAGCACACACCTGGAGCTCAAGGCTGATGTCCTTCAGCCGGACCTCCAGCAGCACGGCCTTCTGCTCCAGGGCTCTGCTCTCGGCCCTCAGCGTCTCGTTCTCCTCCTGGAGCTCCCGGTCCGCTTTCACTCTCAGGCTGGACGGCGGCACCGCGGCAACCGCGGCTCTCTCCCTGAGGGTGGAAAAACACGACAGCGATGTTGAGGCTCCTGCGGAGGCGAGCTGGGCGCCGGGCCTGTCTCAGCGTTCCTGGATCTGCCCGGTCCCCCCTCGTCGCTCGCACTGGCGGCCACACCACATCCGCGTGCCAGGCAATCACACGTCCTCAAGCATCTGACCAACCAATGAGGATGACAGGGCAGAAACGAGTAGCAGTGCTCTTCAGACACCTCACTTAACGCCGACACAGTGACTTAAAATATCACAATTAAAGAAGCGATTTAGAACCCGGAGCGTTTCGACTAGAAAGGATTTCTGCACATTTCAGCAGAACGCAAACTCACACTCCCTGTAGAACTACAAAGAAAATGCAGAGTTGTCTTCAGCCATTCGACAAGGTTTCTCGTGGCCCACAGCCCTACTAAACTACAGCGGTTCAGAGTGGTCTGTTCCCTTTCGAAGCAACGACCACACCGCGGCTGACGTCTAACTGCACGGAGCCGCTGGGACGGTGACATGCACAGCCCGAGCCCTGTCCGGGAAGCTGCAGCTCCTTCACCTGAAAGCCCTGGGCCTCTGATGGAGAGCGGCCTGGCGCGGGCCTGGCATGTGCCCCTCCTGCTTGCCGTCCCCTGCGTGCCCCTGCTCCAGGACGCCGGAAGGCCACAATCCAGAGGGGGGCCGCAGGATCCGTGGCGGATTCTGGAAGTCCTGGGTGCCGCGTGGGATACTCGTTTGGGAGAACTTCATTTTGGCAACTTCCTCCCCGATACTGACATCACCTTGAAAGGCCTGGACAAGGACAGTCCCATCCATGCGCACTGACTTTGCCTGGATTCTTACTTTTTTCCCATAAATTAAATTGTAGAGAAAAGTCCTCCCCTGGAAGTAAAAAAAAAAAAATTGGAAAAGACAGAATGATTGAGCGTTTAATACGCCAAAGGATAACCTTTTCACTGCAAAGCTGTCTACTGAGAACGTTAGACATTAGAATCAAATTTTGTACGTGAAACAAATACAAAAAGAGACATTTCAGATTTGCTTCTATCGATCAATAGTACTAATGTGCATCTACACAATGTCTCTTGACCGCACAATGCTTTTTTTAAAACAAAACCACCTCGAGTGGTGAAACTGGCGGTTTTAAAGGATGCATGGTGCTGCCCCCTTGTGGAGAAAAGTGCAGGGCACGCAATGAGAAATGAAGTATTACCTGCTGGAAGTGGGAGGAATCCTGTTCACCGAGAGCTTGAAAACCCCAAAACATGTACTTTTTTGCAAAACTTGGCATCTGAAGATCTTCGGGTAGTTCAACAAGAGAAGACCTGCTGACAACTTCACAGTTTCCATAGTCGATGTAGATCACGTGGAACTGGTCAAATAAATTACACTGCATTACCTTCTGTGCGCAGTGACAGGAAAGGAATATGTAGGCTTATAACTAAAAAACGATTTGGTAGCAGCACGGCCACAAGACACCTTCTCCTCTTCCTGCATCTGCACCTTGCACCTGTACCAGCACCGGTCTTCGGAAAACATCGCTGCGTATATCTGTTGAGCAAGACAGGTTATTAACTTCCCTGCACATTACAAATCCATTCCTGTTTGCCAGATGACACTGACAATCTGTTAAGACTGGGCATTGTGATCGCCTTTGTAGGCTCCTTCTGAAATTATAAATTGCCTAAGCTAAAGCGATTAAATAATAACAGCTGTATTTACTTCTCAGCTCTCTTTTGAAGTGTGGTAAGCATTCATATCAAACAAAAACAAAGAAACATACAGGCATTCTAAAGACATGCCCTGGTAAACTGGACCAGAACGGACCTCCTGTGGAAAGAGAGACTGCTGTACTCCACAGCACAGTGGAGAGGGTCTTCCTGACTACCACAGAGCAGCCCTCTCTCCTCAACATCCCCAGCTCCCCACCGACTGCACGGGGGCCATTCAAATGTTCGGCTGAGGTCAGAAAGTTAACCGTTTCAATACGGCGTGATGTCTGAGCCGTGCTCTGCTGATTCAGGACCGAACTCTTACCTTGTACATGCTGGGAATCCCAGTAACTCTCCTGGCCATGGGACATATCTGAGAGAGAGTGTTCGTCATGCTCTCTATGGCCTGATCTTCACTCACGTTCTGGAATCATACACCAGCATAAAACACATCAGGGTGACCAGAGTGATCCTTAGAAGCTCCTAAGGCGAAACCCCTCCATGGTGAGCCTGGCTCTTCACAAGCTACATGATACCGCGCCTGGACTATCTTTAGGTGGAATGAAGGAAAAAAAGCTCCCATGGATCTCACACGGCAGTCCCAAGCAACAATACTCTTTATTTTATATAGCGCCTTTCACAAGGCCTCCTCCAGGCTCCTTACAACACAACAAAACACGTAAGCCAGGTCGACAAACTGAAAGAACTGAGCTCCGGGGCAGGAAAACGAGTTTCTCGTGAGGACCAACATGGGATGTGGGATCATTCCACAGCCTGGCAGTCCTCCCGTTCGGAGCCTCGCTCTGGGAAGCGAACAAAACCCACAAACACCAGTGAGCAGGGAGTGAACAGGAAGCCGTCTTCGCAATCTTTTGCATCATCTGATTCCACTTCCTTCATGAATTAAGTTATTAAACTGCTAATGAGGTAAATACGACCTTAAAACTTAAACCTGGGGTGTCCGAAACCGACCTACGGGGATGAGAGGACAAGACTAAGGCAGGATCGTCACGCGGGCGTTACTGGAGCACTGCCAATCCAACGAGGACGCCGAAGGACACAAAACTCAACGGCACGCAACACGTGGCAACTCTCCCCGGCAGATCTTCAGAGAACGAGAAGTGTTCTGAACGCAAAAACGTTCCAACAGGAAAACGCATGAGACACCGTCGGGCCTGAAGGCAGCAGCCCTACCTGAGCCCAGAAGGTGACAGCGTCCACTACATGCGTCACACCGACGAGCTCCACTGCAGGAGGAAGAGAAGGAAGAGACAGGTCAGCGAAATGATGGCCCAACAGTCCGATCGAACCGCACATCCAGCACAAACCAGCAGAGCCTCACCATTCTCCATTTCAGACCCTTCCATGAGCGCAGGTCTCTACACTGGGGAAGAAGACAAGAACAGTAAGAGACCAGGGGCGACTCAGCACAAGCGTCATGTTGTTTAAGGCCCCTCCTGCATCCCAATTCAGACAAGCCGCTTGGTTGCTTCTGTTCTTCCATGTGAAATGTTCAGTCCGGTCAGGGATTAAAATTAGGAGTTGCGTCTGGACACAACATTTTCATATCATCACTTTATTCCAGCAACATGGCAGACAATGGACTCTATATTAACCCCGGTGGATTTGTTTTTAACAGATAATCCCACGCAGCAGGGGAAAAAAATGCTTCATCTCATTATTTTAACAAAAAAAAATAATTTACCGACACGTTTTCTGTAATTGTATACAGATATAAGGCTGTAGATACTCCTGCAGTTTCCAACACGGTTTTGCTGACCCTATACCCCTCAGCAAACTGTCCAAATAACCGCATTCAAATATTCGCAAGTTGCCTTTTAAGAACTGTGCTTTTTAAGCATCTTAAGATCTGGAACCTTTACATTCAAAAAAGATTCGTGAAGATTTGGGAGGAAAAGAGACTTCCCTCCTCTGAAGGAGCTTGTTAGAGCAATTAAAAGGACTGAAATGCGGAATAGTTATCAGGCATGTGCACCCCGGGAGTGTTTATAGTTTTCCATATACTGTATATATATATAAAGGTTTGGCCCCCATCCCCAAGCCCAGAAAACAGGGCGTTACCTTGGGAAAAACCTGATATAATGACACTGTAGAAGACAGACGACGTCCGCTCTCCCAGGCAACCGCGAGTTAAAAATCGCGGCTGACAGGTATATCACTAGGAATAACAGGACGGTTTAAAAAGAACTAAACTCGATTTTTCAATTTTACATCGTCACCAAGAACACTGATCGTCCTCCCCCCCTGGAGTCTCCCGATATCGGACCGGACAATTCACGAAGCCGTTCACGTTTAACAAAGCAGTGAAGACGGCTGTCCAACCGCGCGAGAGCCACCGCCCCTTCCGGGCCGCGCCCGCGCGCGCGCCCCCTCGCCCCGCCCC